ACTGCAAAAATCTACGAATGGCTGCGTCACTCAGTCCAAAGTGAAGACAGAAACGTGCTCCTGTTTTTATTGAGAGGCGCTCCCACTGGGGGCGATGTCATAGAAGGTCTGGAAAGAAGAGCGGGGCATGTGTGAGGTCCTTAGCATGGAGGACGTCACGGATGGGATGTCTGGACTCTACCTGCAGGACAGTGGGGCCACGTGGGTGGAAGGGGGCTGGGAAGACGCAGGAGGGAAACAGTAGGTCCCATAAGGAGACGCGCTGGTGGGCTGGAGGGTAGGCAGACCTGAAGGTGAGACAGAGAAGGCAAAAATGTGGCTACATGGGATCCCAGTGCCTGATGTGGTGGTGGCAGAAGGCCATGGGGTGGTGGCCCGGGATGAAGACAGGATGCGGTCCGGGATGAAGTCCAGACACAGGACTATTCCCAAGTGAGGAGACCACAGGAGCTCAGCAAGCAGAGGGCAGGCGGTGCGGCCAGCGAGATGCTGAGCATTCAGCGGAGGGAGGGAGGAAGTGAATGACAACGAGGCGGCTGGAAAAGGAAAACAGGGACCCTGTGAGGGTCAGGAAAGTGCAGAACACGGTGCGGTGACTACAGTTACGTGGAACTGAGGACAAGGGAGTGTCAACGGCGGCGGGAAGATGCTTTTTCTGAATTCTCCTTATCTTTCTAAAAGCACAGGCTCCCTAAAGAATTCGACCCTCATCCATGGCCCCCCCTGGGAGTTTTACAACCAGGGAAAGTTGACTCTTGCTGCTGAAGAGAAGTGAGCACAGGTCAGCACCTGGATAAGAAAGCGCCTAAACATTATGACATTGCCACAAAGCTACCACATCTTCTCCCCGTTCCAAGGGCCCATTTATTTTTCCCGAGACTCATTTGTCCTCCTGAAAGTGTCCCTCTGTCTCCCTCGAACCCCTATTAAGATGGTATAGAAGCCCTAGATTTTAGCTGCCTCCTTGAATCACATTTTTCTCTGAACTGCTGCCTCCATATGTGAATAAAAATCTGTCTTGTCTCTTACTAATGTCTCTTGTCAGTTTAATTTACAGGCACCCCGCACAGAACCTAAGGGAGTATAGGAAATGTGTTTCCTCCCCGACAGTGGAATTTGGAAAAGCAAGCAAGCTCCTCTGTGGAAACTCAGTAGGGGCACCAAGCACACATAGGTTCAGTGCAACAGAAGAAATAAAAGGATAGTAGCTGTGAATATTCGAGATAGTTGACTTTTTTTTTTTTTTTGAATGAAATAAGGGAGGGCCTGGTAAACCATGTTGCAGGAGGCATTAAATGATACTGACACCATTGTATGTGTGCTGAGTGGTTGTGGGTGACAGGAGGAGGCAGTGGTCTTGAGGCCGGGCCAGGGATGTTGGAGGCGGGCAGGTCCCGAAGGCCCCTGGAGGTGGCCGACGGTGGCACAGAGACTCTTCTCACCCCCAGAAGGGGCTCCAGCACGGCTATGCCTCTCCCAGAGGAGCCGGGAGTGGAGACTGACTAAGGAACATCCTATCACCCAAAAGACAGAGCGCGTGGCAGAGCTCAACTGGCCACCAAATCAATTTTAAATTTGATGCCAAAAGCATACGCTTGCTTCCCATCGTTTCGGGAGGTAAGTAAGTTTTTCACGCAGCAACATCCTGACAGCCCACGCCTCTCTGAAGACTTTGGGGATGAAGACCACATACAGTAAAATGAGAGAGAGAGAAAGAGAGAGAGATTCTTACCGTTTAGGTGTATGAACGCTTAATGTGCAGAACCTTCTCGAAAACAAAACAAAATTAAAAAGGAATAAAAGAGGGGCACCTGGCTGGCTCAGTTGGTGAAGCACCCAACTCCGGCTCAGGTCACGATCTTGCGGTCTGTGGGTTCGGGCCCCGTGTCAGGCTCTGTGCTGACAGCTCAGAGCCTGCAGCCTGCAGTGTGCATCGGATTCTGTGTCTCCCTCTCTCTCCCTGCCCTTGCACTGCTCATGCTCTGTCTCTCTCTCTCCAAAATAAAATAAAACATTTTTAAAAATTTTCAAAAAGAATTACAAAAAAACCCCCCTGAAATTCAGCTTTTAACATAAACAAGACAACTAAAACGTGCAAAGTACTGACTGGTCTGCTTCTTGGAATCGATCTCAGGATTCACGTGAAATAAACGTCAAGCCCAGAAGTGACGTGTAAATGATGCTGTCGTTTTTATTTTGCCCCGCAGACGCGCATCTTAGCGGCTAGGGCTAGAAAGTCGAATGGAGAGCTCCCCCACGCAGAGGGCCTGGGGGCGACTCCCAGCTTGTCCCTCAACCTGCCTGGTGGTGTGGAGCCTGCAGATGGCCGAGCGCTGTGGACGCCGGGGCAGATGACCTCACATCACAGGGTCTCTGAGAGTACCCAGCACGCACCCGATGAGCACTCATTAGAGTGTTGAGGACGGGACACAGGGACTTTTTGGGGAAGGCACCACCTTGGCTAATTTTTGGCACAAAAGAATAACTGCTACATAACTCAGAAATAATCGTTTGAGAACTTGTGTAACGTCAGCTCTGCTAGGCATATTCTCCTGGTAAAACGGTAACTAACGCTTTAACCTAATTTCCTCCTTTTACGCTGCTTGTTTTTCACTGCTTTCTATCCCTACCACTGTAGCTAATTAATTTGATGACACCCACAGCATAAAACGTTCCCGACTGCAACCGTGAATCTCTCTGGGGACTTAACAGTCATATGAAATGCCCCTGAACTTGGCTCACTAGACTTCTGCACCCACACTGCATCAGAGAGAAAGGAGCCGGACGCGTTCTAAGAACCTTCTCATATTTCAATAACCCTCTTTGCAAGTGCTTCCTGCCCGAGAAGAAAAAGCCAAGTACAGAGTCTCCTCAACCAGGAGACTGATCAAGTCTTGCTTTAGATTTACCATATGCACAACACCTGACGAAACACCCGGAAAGCCTTGACTATATATACTTGCCTAAGAAACAGGACCCGAAAGGTTTTGTTTCCGCAAGACAGAGCCGTGCATAAACAAGTGTGGATTAGTAACCAGGGTGATGCCTAGAACACTTTATGAAATAAATTACTGGAAAGACAGGCAAGTGCTCATTTTCCTTTGACAAGTTTAAAATCAATATTGTCGACGGGAAGGACACGGGGATGCACGGACAACACGGGAGCTGTGGGGCTGAGTGTTCAGTCGCAGCTGGGTGTTCCCTCCGCAAGTGGCCTCAAGCAAAGGGGTAGGTGAGGGCCAGCGAGTGTCTTCTTATAAACTGGGTCCGCACACACGTGAAAACACACAGATACCGTGTTTCAACGGACACCATGCCTGGTGGAAAAAAGGACAGCTCTCCTGGGAAGAAGGTACCTGGACGCCCAGATACGAGAAGCACATGCAAAAGGTCCGCCCCGAACCTGTCCCGCGGCCCTGGAATGGGGCTCAGGGGCGGGGCGCTCGTGGGTTCGTCCCTTGTCATACAACCGCTGTTGAGTTAGCTTCACGGACGAGACTGAAATCAGCCCAGATCCGTGTATCCTTGCGAATACGGTACCCAAATTGCTCAGTGATCCTTTAGGTCTGTGATGTTACAAAAAACCTATGTTTGGTCTCCATCCCTGGGTGCTGGCACAGAGCTCCCCAAACGTTTGGAATTTCTTGAGCATCTGGGGCATCTTTTGTTTTCGTAATAAGCCCGTTTCAACCATACCGGGGTTTCTGCTGATCAAGTGACTACCTGGGTCCTTAGATGTGCCTGGGATGAGGGCAGGCTTCCAGAAAGACCAAGGTGCAGTTGGAGGAAAGGGAGCTTTTAGACCTGGCCCCAACCGCCAGGGGCAAGGATTTAATCACCAATGGCCAATGATTTAACCAATGATACCTAAGGCATGAAACCCATAGCAAGTCCCCTAAAACATGGGGTTCTTAGAGCTTCTGAGTTGAGGACCAGTCTGAGGTGCTGAGACAGGCGCCACTGGAGAGGGCATACAGTCAGCTCTGAGGCCACCCCCTCTCCCTGTCATTCTGGAATCTGCAAGGGCGCACAGTCAGCCCTGAGCCCTTTTTTTCCCTGTTATTCTGGAATCTGCAAGGGCGCACAGTCAGCCCTGAGCCCTCCTCCTC